GACAAATCGTTGTTTTGTTATTTTCTCTTTGGGTGTGCCCCGGTGGTGCATTTTTTTATTATTTACTAAATTTATCTATTTTGTTTGTTTGTTATGTCATTTAGATACACAATTTTGTTCTTAATCTAAAAAAGGCACTAAAACAAACCCTCTAACATCTAGTCCACCTGCCTCTTACAATCCACACAACCGCAGCTGACAAGAAAAGCGTTTAATATCCCCTTCCTCCTCTCTCCTCCCGCAGTCGTCGGCGATCCCAACTTCATCGTCCACACTCGAGGAATCCGCCTGCCCTTCTGCTTCGATTACCACGGTTACAACGGAGCTTACTTGAGCCTGATCCAGGACCCTTATACAAGTGAGAGAAGCGTTCGTCGTGGAGATACTGGGGGCTGGGGAGTCTTCCGGGACGTTTGGGTGTCGTTCGTGGTGGTGATACGGATGGGGGGAGGGGGGGTCGGAGATGCTTGGGAGTCGTTGGTGGTGGTGATACGGATGGGGGGGGGGGGGGGGGGGTCGGAGATGCTTGGGAGTCGTTCGTAAGGGAGAGAGACGAATCGGAGATGGTTGGGAATCTGTCATATGTGGATACATTTTTTTGTTAAAGATCGTTGAGAATCGTTATGTGAAGATGGGTTTTTTTAAAATCACTTGGAATCATTTCGTAAGTGAAGATGGGAAATCAGCCATAACTGGAGATACGGGTTCTAAAAGTTCATTTAGAATCACACATAAACGGAAATACGGGTTTTAAAATCACTGAGAATCATTCATAATCACTGGTTTTAGAATCATATAATAATTGAAAATATTGATTTGAAGATTGTTGGGTTTTAGAATCATCTGTAATTATTTATAAGTGGGAATACAGGATTTTAAGATTACTGAGAATCGTTCATAATCAAAGATACAGTTCTTAAAAGCATTCAGAATTATTTATAGTGAAGACATACACTTTAAATTCATTCTTTCATTTAACGTTTAATTTTGCTCCCTATACTTAATTTTAGAGGTTAAAAAAGTTAAAAAGTTAAAGGACCTTCACCTTGATCATGTGTTTGTCCGCAAAAATCACCATTTTCGATATTTTTTCTTATCGTTTCTTTTTGTTTGTTTTTACAGAGATAGCCTTACGTAATTGCACCATCATTTTTACTTATTCTTTTATCTCCTAACTGCCTGATTTACAGATATCATCGTAAACGGGGAGGTCACATCGGCGTCACACAACCCGGACCGCACATACTTCTCGGCGCTGTTCTTCGCTCTCGGTCAGATCAACGTGACGGTGACGCGAGATCGGATCCACATCGACTGCCTGGGAGAAAACCGTGTGCCTCAGGTAAACCAGCGTTCCAAGGACACGGGGAAGGGAAGGTTCTAAATGTGTTGACTTGATTAGTCCAAAGGGGGACTTGGCAAGTTCCAACAGCTAGAACCTTTGTGATATTTAAATTAAGATCTTCCACAAGATTCCTCATTCACCTACCATTCTCCATCCTCAAGGGGGTTGAAAACCAATCTGGATGTAGGAGATCCCGGAATCCTTTGTAGTCTCGCGTAGTAAATCAGGTTCATGTAGTCTTGGTGTAATGGAAGAGGTGGTTTTCCACTCTCAGCATACTGGGACTCCACAGGTGAAGACCTAAAAGCCCCTATACAGATTCTAAGAGCTTCATTATGAACCGAGTCCAACATCCGGAGAACGGTGGGAGTTGCAGATCAATAAGCCTCACATCCACAGTCAAGTTTATTACGAATAAGTGCTCGGTAAAGTCGCAGAAGCGTTGTGCGGTCTGCACCTCAAAATAGGTGTGAAAGAACCCGCAAAATACTAAGCATTTTTGTAGCTTTCACCTCTAACTGTTTAATGTGAGTCACCCAGGTAAACCTTGAGTCAAAAATTAGACCCAAGTACTTTACCTGTTGGACAAAATGCAGTGGGTTTGCTCCTAAATAGAGGGAAGGATGGAACTTTCCTCGTTTGTGGTTTGTGGAGAAAATTTAATTGGCTCATTTTTTCCCTCACTTACGCCATGCGCTACAAATCTGCCCGATTTTCCGTCGCTTTCAAGTTTTTATCCTTTTGTCGCGGCCCAAAGGTTGCTGCGTTGCCTGGATTTTACATCTTTATTACCGTTATTATCAGTTTACGAATAAGATGATATAGATGAAAATTTACATAGAATGATGTTTTCTACTGATTGGTAAGTTCAGATTCAATATTTAAGGTGTTAGGCGTCATTTCCAATATTCCAACCCGTATAACAACATAAGAAAATATACAGAAACGATATAGAGATAATTAATAAATAATGATGATGACAAATAAATGCATAAATAAATACATAAATAAATAAATAAAGTAATTATGAAATAAAATGAATAATAAAATAAGATGGAATTAAATAAAAATAAAATAAATAAAATATCATTAGATAAACAGAAATGAGTATAAAATAAAATTATATGAAACAAGATAAAATAGAAAAAACAATACAAACGATAAAATAGAATTTCTTCCTCAGGTTAACTTCATGAAGAAAAGCCTGTATCCCTTCTACGACAAGAAGGGCAGACCTTACGAACGAAAGGATAAGAAAAACGGTAAGAAGAGGAGGAAGAAGCACAAGAAGAAGCCCGAATTAAGAAGGGGAATCAACCTGTCGAAACAATGCAACCACGAGACTTCTTGGGACAAGGGAATGGCCCGTCTGTGAGTTCGGTTTCGCTGCTCGTTCGGGGTAGAGCGAGAGGTAGATTTGGGTAGAGGGAAAAGTAGGTTGAGTTGGTAAAGCGAGAGGTAGGTTTGGGTTGAGGGAAAAGTAGGTTGAGTTGGTAGAGCGAGAGGTAGATTTGGTAAGAGCTCGAAGTAGATTTGGTAGAGTGAGAGGTAGATTTGGGTAGATGGAAAGGTAGGTTGAGTTGGAAGAGCGAGAGGTAGATTTGGGTAGAGGGAAAAGTTGATTCAGTTAGTAGAGCTCGAGGTACAGTTGGTAAATTGAAAGGTTGATTTGGTAAGAGCTCGAGGTAGATTTAGTAGAGTGAGAGATAAATTTTGCTAGAATGAGAGGTTGACTTGGTAGTGTGAGGTAGAGTTGGTAGAGGGAAAAGTAGCTTGAGTTGGTAGAGCGAGAAGTAGATTTGGCTAGGGTGAGAGGTAGATTTGGTAGAATAATAAGTAGAATTGACAGCAAAGAAAGAGAAGTGGTATAGCAAGAAGTAGAAATGATAAACAGAAAAAAAACTGATAATTAGCAAAAGGTATAACTGACAGAGCGAGTTAATGAGAGAATGAAAAAAAAATCATAAAGCAAGAAGTAGTAGAAATAAGTAGACCTGATAGATTAAGAAGTAAAATTTTATGGGTGTTGTTGAATCTCTTTCCACATTTTCATACTCACCGTACACTGTGATGCAGATTACCACGGTCACAGTATGCTATGGTACGAAATATGATGCAAAACCTACTTTCACTGCATATTGTGATGCAAATACGCTGTGATGCAAGTGACATTCATCTTACAATGTGATGCAAAAAATAGGTTAAAATACACTTAAGGTGCAAGTAACACCTTCCCAGTAACGCTAAGAAGCCATTAGCACATATTCCTAATGCAATATGAACCAATAGCACACATTCCCCAAATAACTAATAACTCACTACGAAACCAAGAGCACACTTTCCTGATACAACGTGAAACCAGTAGCTCATAAGCCAATAATTAAACCTCATCTCACTTCATTTTTTTCTCCCCTCGCCTCTCGCTTCATCGTGAAGATATGGCACAGCGATGATCCTGAAGAAGCAAGACAGCAAGCACCTTGACGTGATTCTGGGCGACGGAGAGGCTCACTTCGCCGTCACCCGCTCGACGAACCCCGACGGCCAGGCTTACCTCGGGTTCTACGTGGAAGGGCAGAAGATTCTGTCGCCGCAAGCCCATGGGATCATTGGTAAATTTCAACTTACTTTTTATCGTATTCGTGTTTTCTTCAGTTGGTATCGACTGTATGTTTTATTTGTTAATTCTGTTCTTCGTGTTCTGTAATTTGGTTATCGTTTTCGCATATTATTATTGTTGTTACCATATTCTTCCTTTTACTTCGAAAGATAGTTTCCCGGCAAAGCCATTGCATTATTGGTAATGTTATTTTCTTCACTCTGTTCTCTATTTTATTGTCGTCCTTATGTTCTCTATCCTTCTATCTTCTTCAAAACACACTGGTATCGTAAGTCCATGCCATAACTGCTATTATAATTTCCTCCCTGCGTTCTTTATTTCATTATCGCCTACATAGTGTAAGGAAATAAAATTTTGGTCTATATTCCGGTTGAGTGTGTGTATTATTTTTTTCTCTCCCTGATCCACAGGTCAGTTCAACAACAAAACCATTGAGATTTTACCCACTGAGGCGGCACGTTGTGGTGATGTAAGCAGTAGGTGAGTTTATATATCAATATTTTTTTTCCACAGGTACTTTGATATTAAGCAGTTTATATTTGCCATGTGAATACATAGAACTGTAATAAAGTTTACATTAAATTTCTTAATTTTCCATTTTACAAATCCTCAATGTTTGTTCACATGAATGAGTAAAATTGTAATATTTGTAACAGCCTTACTGCTTTTGCTGTATTCCCCGTTATCATCATCATCCCTCCACTTTTTGTGTTTATTTTGTGTCTATACGTCTACTAAGCGCACTCATAGAGTCAAGATTAATATTTTTGTGAATTTATTCTCAATCTCGTTTCCTCATCGATTTCATACAAATCCAAAATATTTCACACTTCGAAGTACAAAATTGTAGTAAGAATTGTTTACATTATCCTTTTATCCTTCCAGCATTATCGTTCATACTTTACGGATCCAAAACTTTTAACCTCCATCCGGTCTACCCCCCCACCCCCACTCCCTTCCTCCTTATCGCTATCTAACAAATCTAAAATATTTAACTTCCTCCTACATCTTCCATTGACCCCTTCCCCACGCGAATCCAAAACATTTAACCTCCATCTTTTCTATCTCCTCAGCGCTTTCATTCGAGTCCACATTTATCTTCTTCCTGCACCTTCCTTTCTCGACGTCTCATATGAATCCAAAACCTGTAACCACCATCTTTTCTATCTCCTTAGCGCTTTCATTCGAGTGCAGAGACGCAACCCACAAGGAGGATTCGAAACTTCCCACGTGTGCGGCGAGCGAGGCAGTCGACACTCGGTCCTGAGCGGAAGGGACGTCGAGTGCATCAACGTCTCAGACATGGGCTCAGGCCTCTTGGATCGACGCAGATACGACCTTCAGTGTCTTGGCTGCGCGGCCAGTCTGACTTAGGACTTGTGAATTAGCAGATCTTGTCTCCGTGTGTGTGTGTTGCGTCCCAGGACTGCCAGATGCGCGGAAGAATACATACGTCAGAGGAATATATTGAGCTTTAAAAGAAACAACTTAATGTGAATAGAATACTAGACCTATGTAGAAGAATGATTTCGGACCATATTTTGTGTAAGAAATATAGTTTTCATGAACACTTGTTGCTATACACCAATTTTTCTTTTCTTCTTTGTATCAAGTATTCTTCTTTGCCACTTCTTCCATTTTCCTCCTTCTCGAATATTCATTCTTCTCTTCTTTTTTAACGACTTTGTTTTGGTAAACAGGATAACAAAAATGTATATTATCCATTATGAAATGAGATGTGTGTGTGTGTGTGTGTGTGTGTGTGTGTGTGTGTGTGTGTGTGTGTGTGTGTGTGTGTGTGTGTGTGTGTGTGTGTGTGTGCGTGTGTGGTGCGCATGCATTGTGTGAGCATTGGAGAGTGTTTTGTAAAGATGAAAGTTTTTGAGCTTTTCATGACAATCTTAGGTTTATAAGTCTTCACTCGTCACTTAATCGTTTTCAGCAACCGACATCGATCTTTATTTTGTAATTTAATGTATAATAGGATATAATATAATTAGTAACTAGTAGAGAGTGAATGTTACTGTATCAGTAGAATGCATATAATACACTACGTCTCAAAAGTCAATTTGTCCTTGACTTCAGTTTGTATTATTAATTGTGTAACGACGGGGAAAAAATGTCACTAATCTCAAAAGAAATACTGTATCGATTAACCCTAAAAGTTCTCGCCCACTAAAAATGAGGCCAAATCACGCCATACTGTTATAAATCGAGCGCCAAAGCAGCGTTGAGTTCTTTCCTTTTTTCGCCATTTTCTTCTCTGATACAATTGAAATCCGTTTACTGTTGTTTCTCACTTTTCGATCATATATTTAAGACTTCCTTCACTGTAATGTGATAAATAATTATCTAAATCGCCTGTATGTCAAGCTGTCTCAGCTAATTCCTCCTCAACAGAGGAAATGTTATTTTAAGATATAAGAAATATAAAGCGTCTATAAATTGCAAGAAGTGACGGTGGACATGAGCAAAGCAGAAATATATAAGAGCATTATCTTTAGCGTGGAACAAGGACAAAACAAGTGATCCACGTTGTTGTTCCACTAGTTACTACTATGCGATGATGGGGCATAAACTTTTCTTACATCAGAATATACAGGTACAATCTTTCTTCGGCTTCATTTTTAGAACTTGGGAATCAATCCAGTCGTTGTTTTGTCATTAGTGGATTCAGTTTAAGGTGTAAAATTTATCCTAAATATTAACTCGTGTACAGTATACATTTCTTCGGTTTCATAACAATAAACCATAAAGAAAGAGTGTAGTTTGTATTTCATATTCCATTTCCACCCTAAAGTTCAGAGAAACTAGAGAGAATAAGATCTATTTTTATTAAAAAGAAGATGCAAATGAAAACGAAGGTAGGTAATAAATTTTCTAATAGAAATGGGTTAAAAAAAAGTAATTTAGAAAACAATTTTTCTCAAATAAGAGTTCATCTACTCTCTTCTTTTGACGTGCATTCTTATATATATTTTTTTTGTCTGATTTGCGAAGCAGAGCCTCGCCTGGGCTATGCCTATAAGGGGAGCCCGGTTGTTCAATTATATATATTTTTTACCTACACATGAATGCGTCGTAAATAAATAGAACTCAAGCTGAAATGTGAATACTTCAGTTAAAGTATGTAATAATAATGCATACAAACCCTACACCGAAGAAATAAAGATCATGACCACTATTGTTTACATTAAATGGTCATATATCAGTCTCTTCCAAAACTTCGATACTTAATTACTTTTATTCTTAATAATAATAAGAGAGACACTTCGGGGTGGTGTTCAAGTGCCACGCGTCAGCCCTGAGGTCGGATATTTCACGATAATCTAATACACTTTCAGATTGTTGTATGGCACTTCTCTCTTATCTCTCTCTCTCTCTATGCTTATAGTAATAGTATCAGGTTTTAGCACTGTATATACACTAAAATTTAAACTTTACTCAGATCACATATAGTACAAATATGTAGTTCTTAATCTATACATGCATAATTTTTAGAACAAATCTTTCCAATAACAAAAATAGTACATGTTGTTTTCTTTATTAAAATATCAATAATAACCGTAATAGAACAGTACTACTGAAGTATAACAGTGTAACCTTTAAATAAAGAGAATGTATGGTGAGGGTTAACAAAAAAAAAAAAAAAAAAAAAAAAAAAAAAAAAACACTTTGTAGGGTAAACTATCATATTTTACAGTTTTCTAATCTTAGTAAAAAATAAACTTTATTAAAAAATAAAAATAAAAATAAATAAATAAATAAATAAACAAATAAAAAAATATATCATCTTTCTAGAAAAATAATTAAGTGCTTTTATCTTACACAGCTAAAGACTAAAACTGAGGTATACGTAATAAATAACATAAGCATAAAGACCAGGTGGTTTCTTGATGAATATTTGGGTCATTCTAACTTTACATCCCTTGTGCTCGTAACACTCCTTTTGGGTTAGGGTAGACCAAAAATTCATCATGATTGATTGATTATTTAGAATTATCTGCCGCGTCAACAGCTAAGGTCATTAGCGGCGAACACCTTGTTAGAGTGAAATATTAAAACATTTAAAACGTTAAAAATCTATCAATAAATGTTATAAATAACAACAGATATTGTATTAAAAATCAAAGCATAAATATTATGCTCTAAATGTCTAAAAACTATTGCATAAACATTATGCATAATTAAATTTTATTAAAAATATTAGTTTCCCTAAGGTAACTAATAAGACCTTCTATGCCACAAACCTCCCCCAATACATTTTTCAGTGTATATGGGGGAGACAAGTACCTTCGTCTTTGGTCTGAGAATGTTGCACATCTTTCCACTTTATGTGCGACCGTTAATGGCTCTTGGCAATCCTCACTGCGTGCTTCACTTTTAGTCATCATCGGCCCATGAGTCATTTTTGTGTGCCCGATTCTCAGCCTTGTTAATACAACTTCCACTTATCGGTTGCGATGGATGCTGGTCACCCAACTGCCAAGGTCATCTCTAATCTCTCGTAGTTTATTTCTAGAGGTATGCCTCAATTGTTCCCTCCATTTATCACGAAGACAACTTCTGAAGCTGGGTTTCAAATCAGTGTGTGGGAGAGGAAAACGAGCATCACAAGGCTGAGTGGCAGCTGCCTTGGCCTTCTGATCAGCTCTCTCATTCCCACTGATACCAACATATACTGGCACCCAACACAGAGTTAACTTCTTACGTGCTGACATCAATGCAAGCCAATCTTGAATCTCCCTCACCACTGGATGTGATGAGTTTAAGCTCTTGATTGCTTGCAAGGCACTACAAGAGTCACAATATATTGTAATAGAATAGTTCGTAAGATCACTAGTCATCTTGACTGCTGCAAGGATAGCATGTAACTCTGCAGTGAAAATCGAGGCTGATCGAGAAAGACTGCCAGATGCAGTCTTCCTTCTGCTCACTGCTGCAAAGCCCACGCCATTTTCAGATTTCGAACCATCTGTATATATTGCATATGATTCCTGGTACTTAGAAGTGTGTTGAAGAAATATCTCTCTGACTTCTGCCCCCCCTAACGGAAGCCGCCTTGCACCCTGCAGCTAGCAACACGCCTCTTTGGTCCTCTATTCTGGTCAGACGGGTGGCTTGATCAAAGCCCGGTCAAGTCAATCGGCTGGTCAATATGGCTAGGGTCAAGCAGGCACTATTCAGTCGGTAGCGCATGGGTCCCGCGACTACCATCAGCACTGTAATGGTGACTGCATATATTTCCTCACTACCCCTGTGGCTGTTGGGAAAATTTGAGTCCCAACTATAGCTTCCCCTCGTTGGACTCCATGGTGGGTGGGGGGGTGAGGAAATGAAGATTTCTAATTTGTATGAATGCTACAAATTTAAAAAGAACTTGCTCTCTCCCTGACGACATTTGCAATCCTCTGGCCAATGCCTCTGGAACATCACATATTGTCACTCTGGAACCTTACCAGATTCCAAAGGGCAAAAATGGGAATCGTAATGGTTCCCGAGCTCCCAAACCAGGTAAGGAGAAAAGTCCTTCTCAATCCATTAAGGAAATCTTACCTGGTAAATACGAAAGTGTATCTTATAGTAAATACTTAGTGGTGAAGACCATTGATGGAGTATCTATCATGGATCTTAATATTTTTGAAGTATATAGGAATATAGTTGAGGTGTGCCAACGTGATCCTCGCATCACCCCACAGCGAGATGGTAGCCTGATAGTTGAGGTATCATCACCAGATGAGAGTGACCGTCTGCGTACAATATGCAACATTCCTGGGGCTCAAGTCTCATGTTCTCCTCACAAAACCCTCAATCAGTGTAAGGGAATTGTCTTTTCCCGAGACCTGATAAGGTATTCTGAGAAACTGTTAGAAGAACTGAAGAATTTTAATGTAGTAGCAGTAAAACGTTTTAAGAAGAAAGTTGATGGTTTGGAACAGTCGACACCAGCTCTTCTTCTAACTTTTGAATCTTTATTCCTTCCTGAATCGGTCAAGTTGGCATGGTACCACCTCAAGGTCAAGCCATATGTACCAAACCCTATGCGGTGTTTCCACTTCCAGGGTTATGGGCACGGAGCCAACTCTTGCCGTTTTAAGGAAAATGGACAACCAAGAGTGTGTGTGAAGTGTGGTGCAACAGGTCATCAAGGAGATGACAACTGTCCAGGTCCAAATATGTAAAGATCATGAAGCTTCTTCTAAGCAATGTAAAAGGTACATATTTGAAAAAGAAGTATTGGTAATAAGGAGCAAGGAGAAAGTTAGTTTTGCAGAAGCAAAGCGACGTGCCCGTGTGCTGTTTGCACAGCTGGGTAAGTCCTTTGCTTCAGTTCTAGCCCATCCTCCTTCCCGCCATCCCTTACCCTCCAATACTTCTAACACCACACACTCTGCCACTACTGTTACACATCAGTCCTCAAATGCTGAAACTGATTCTGGTGAGTTGGTCCACCAGAAACGAAGTAGGAGTGAAGGGTCTATTGAGGAGACTCCTCCTAAAGTAAGGTCTTTGGAGCCATCAGGTAAAGCTCCAGAGGCCTTAACGGTAACAGCTTCAGCTGCCACCACATCCACAGGGGCCTCTACTGCTAGGCAGGATGCCCCTGAAGCAAAGGCTCAGGTACGCCCTTTGCACAGGCAGAGGAATCCTGAGCCTGTTCAAAAGGCTCCTCATAGAGTCGGGTCTTTGGAGCCACCAGGCAGGGCTCCAGAGGCCACCACATCCACAGGGGCCTCCGCTGCTAGACAGAATGCTCCTGAACCAAAGGCTCAGGTCCGTCCTTTGCCCAAGCAAAGAAATCCTGAGTCTGCCCAAAGGAAGCCTGTGGAAACTAGTTCCACAGGTAAACAACCCATAAAAAGGTATCCCCAAGATGCTGGAAAGGGACAGTCTAAAGGTGTGGGGCGGACCTTAACCACAGGTGCTGCCAAACACCTTATGAAGTAGCTTGTCAACCTGAAGAACTGGATACCCTAATCCAATGGAATTGTCAGGGAATTCACGCAAAATGGGAAGAATTGCAACATCTGATAGCTTCTTGTAATCCAGTTTGTGTATGCCTACAAGAGATTATGACCAGGGAAAATCATCCAATTTCCCTGAGAGAATTCCAAGTTCAAGCCCATTATGGGAGCTTTGATAATGGACCTCATGGAGGAGTTGCAGTGATGGTACGTCAGGATATTCCCTTCCAGGCCATCCACCTGCAGACAACACTGCAGGTGAAGGCTGTGAGAATAGGCTTGACACGACCTTACACTATTGCATCCATCTACCTCCCTCCACATAATCTTAACATAGATGATTTGGAAGATTTACTTGGGCAGTTGCATCATCCATTTCTACTCTTGGGGGACTTCAATGGTCGCCATCATCTCTGGGGAGACACTTTGTGCAACCCTCGAGGAAGGGCCTTGGAGTCCTTGTTCTCAAGAGTAGATGCAGTTTTACTGAACAGTGACACACCCACACATTTCCAAATTCAAACTGGGACATTCTCCCTTGTCAGTTGGTTCACCTGATTCCCAGTTGAATTTCACTTGGCAGGTCATGGAAGACTTACATGGAAGTGACCACTTTCCAATACTTTTGAAAGAGGTGAATGGTATTCCAGCCAATGGAGTGCAGAGATGGCGACTTGAACATGCAGACTGGATTCTTTTTAGATCAACTGCAGTATTGCAAGATTGTGAATGATTTCCAGTGTGTTCAAGATGCTGTCAATCACTTCACATCACGAATTCACCTTGCAGCAGAAGCATCAAT